TCCCCAACATGTGCACTTCCAGCAGCCCGTAACTCACCTAATCAATTCTCCTATTCCTCGTATTGGTCAATATATCAGGTGAGACTTTTCGTTTTCCATCATTTATTCTGACGCTGAGCGCTTTTAACGTCAGCTATTAGTGTCTGGAAAGGATAAACCTTCACAAACCATCACAGGAAGAAGCCTTGACTCATCAGATTAGGGAATCATTAGGCATCATTACGTCCAATCCATCTGTTAAGGAACTTCAAGTTACGGTAATTACGCAGTCATACCCAACGAGCTGTATTCTCATATCTTCTACAATATTGCTGTAATATATATTTTTTAATTCAGGAAAGGGCTTAGTGGACTTGCGTAAATCTCAGCATTGTATACACATAGAGTTTAATTTAATCCCAGTATTAAGGATTAAAGAATTTTTGTCTGGTGGATTACAGAGGCCGCAGCTATTGTGGCAGTCATGCAGTCGACAGACTCTAAACCTGATATAACCAATCAGATACTCACAGATCGGTATCTCTTCCACCGAGGTCGGTAAGACCTTCAATCCTACACACCAGTGCTGCCTCCTATAATCCTGGGTGATATAATCTTAACCAACAATAAATCTTGGAGGCTTCCCATTAGTGAATATTGATCACGAGGGGACACTGACGCGCATTAATGACACCAATTACAGATTCCCAATTAATAGGACATTCAGCATCTCCCATCACTTCTACCTATCCCCTTCCACTTTATTAAAGTATCCAGTGTCAGCCTACACTCGAATTGATAGACCTATTTGTCTATATAGCAGCTCAAAATTGGGATATGTTAGTCGCTGAAGTTGGTTGGGGATGTGCAGGGTCAGTCCTGCTCGACCCCTTGATGTGATATATATATATATATATATATATATATATATATTATATATATATATATATATATATATAATATATATAATATATATATATATATATATATATATATATATATATAGATAGATAGATAGATATATACAACTGTATTATTTATTTTATTTATTTTCCAAGACATCATAAAGATCTCCTTAGAGCGAAACGTTGTGCCAGTAAAGTCTTGTTCTACTGCATGTTTCTTTGTTCTGTCGACGTCTGGTCCGTTAAGGGAGAGCAAAGAGTGCATCATCACGCACCTCGGCTCGAAGTGTTTTATTGCACGTGATTCTTTATTATCTAGAGTTATTTTGTGATTCTTCAGATTTATTACTTTGTAAATACACACACACACACACACACACACACACACACACACACACAGGACAGGAGGGATAGGGGGGCATGATAACGATATACAAAATACTGAGAGGAACTGACATGGTGGATAGGGACAGAAAGTCTCAAAGATGGGACACAGCAAAAAGGTGTCAGAACTGTAAGTTGAAAACTCAGACGAATCACAGGGATATTAGGAAGTATTTCTTCAGTCATAGAGTTGTCAGGAAGTGAAACACTCTGGAGAGTAATATAGTGGAGGTAGAATCCATACATAGCTTTAAGAAGTGCGATAAAGCACAAGGAGCTGGTAGTAATAATGTTAGTGGCATAGAGAATAGTGCTAGTGTTCTGAGTGTAGCGAATTAAGTTGAAAGTGGTGGTTTGATTGTGGTGATAATGTGGATGGTGGTAGTTTTGACCGTGCTGATCACTGGGATGGTGGTAGCTTTGACCGTGCTGATCACTGGGATGGTGGTAGTTTTGACCGTGCTGATCACTGGGATGGTGGTAGTTTTGACCGTGCTGATCACTGGGATGGTGGTAGTTTTGACCGTGCTGATCACTGGGATGGTGGTAGCTTTGGCTGTAGTGATAGTGGGAAAAATTAGCAGTTTTAAATAAGGAGATAGTAACTAGGGTAGTAGTAATAGTTTGATGATGGTGTTATTATTATATAAACACGTACTGATCACCTGTATCATTGTAATCACTTCTGCTGAGTGGGCGAAACGTTTCGAAAATATACCTAAGCGCTTCACAGTATGTTGATAGTGTTTGTAGTGATGGTAATGGTGACAGTAACACATTTTTTTGACCATAGAATTGTAATTGATATTTTTCGAGTTCTTTTCTTTAAATTCAGACCTCAGTTCAAGTCTCTAAGAATAATTTAGTAGGGCTGAGTTGCCCCGCTCCCTCCGGTACACATACCTCTGCCTACAACTTCCGACAAGTTAGTGGAATACGATTTTACGAAATCGTATTTCGTCAGTTGAGTGGAGATGCGTCAAGGATCTCAGAGCTCTCAAGGAAATTGATTTCTGCATTATCTGATCTCTGTTTCTGTGCTCCTTTAATATTTAATCGGTGATGATATTTTGTTACAAACCTTTCCAGTGGGTTACCTTGATGTTACCATATTGAAGGGCTCTTGATACTTTTGACTCCAATCAAAACTGATTACTTCCTAGTTTCCGGCTGACAGGAGACAATAGCTGTGTATGTGTCGACAATCTCCTTCAATAGCAAATAGTTGAATCAGTTCGTTGGTCGATGCGGTTAATGAGTGTAAAGCCGGTCGACTACAAGAGGGTGATCAACGCTGCACGGTAACCTGTTCACCACCAGTTAAGAATACTTTAATCCCTAAAACAGCGATTAAGGGTAAACTTTCAGTGTGTATACACTGTGATATACACCTCTCGGTGTGTATATCCTCTGCACCTGAAGTACATTTGTACTCTTTTCAGAAGTTGTGAGTCCTCCCTATGTATATATATATATATATATAATATATATATATAATATATAATATATATATATATATATATATATATATATATATATATATATATATATATAAATATATATATATATATATATATAATATATATATTAATATATATATATATAATATATATATATATATATAATATATATATATAATAGTATACAGTAATATAATAATAATTTTATAATATAAACAGGCTGTTAAAATATTTGATTACTTCTTTTTTGGGTGACTTTCTTTATATGTTTTGGTTTATATTTCGGCACCAAAACAAATTGTTCTTACTATGGCCTCCATCTCGACATTCTCTTCTCGCTCTTCCCCAGTAAATCCCCGGAAGCCCTCTAATTTTTTTTTCGAAAGGACAATAGTAAACAAAGGCTGTGTGTGTGTGTGTGTGTGTGTGTGTGTGTGTGTGTGTGTGTGTGTGTGTGTGTGTGTGTGTGTGTGTGTGTGTGTGTGTGTGTGTGTGTGTGTGTGTATTCACCTGACTGTACTCACCTAATTGTGACTGCAGGGGTTGAGTCATAGTTCCTGGCCCTGCCTCTTCACTGTGTGTAATTACATTCACGTCCGTTCACGCCACATTCTAACAGGTCAGGTATCATTTCAGACAAAAGTTTCGACACAAGCGATACGATTATGTTGAGCGAAATGTCGCCACTAAGACACAGGAGTAACTAAATTATTTTTTCCCCGCGTGTGTTACAGTGAGGGCACTGACGCTGGCACTAATGGTGGCACTGACGGTGGCACTAATGGTTAACTGCAGCCCCATCAGCAACAATAACAACTGTAAGCAATTATTAAAATTAAAATTATTTCCTAGCTTCATCAGCGTTAAATTACATTAAATGAAATTAGATTAATAATTTTAATTCTATGCATAATATACATCATGTGATATATATGGCATAAAGAGCGACATCGGCAAGTTTGCCGATGACACCAAAATAGGCCGTCGAATTCATTCTGACGAGGACATTCGAGCACTCCAGGAAGATTTGAATAGACTGATGCAGTGGTCGGAGAAGTGGCAGATGCAGTTTAATATAGACAAATGCAAAGTTCTAAATGTTGGACAGGACAATAACCATGCCACATATAAACTAAATAATGTAGATCTTAATATTACGGATTGCGAAAAAGATTTAGGAGTTCTGGTTAGCAGTAATCTGAAACCAAGACAACAGTGCATAAGTGTTCGCAATAAAGCTAATAGAATCCTTGGCTTCATATCAAGAAGCATAAATAATAGGAGTCCTCAGGGTTGTTCTTCAACTCTATACATCCTTGGTTAGGCCTCATTTAGATTATGCTGCACAGTTTTGGTCACCGTATTACAGAATGGATATAAATTCTCTGGAAAATGTACAAAGGAGGATGACAAAGATGATCCCATGTATCAGAAACCTTCCCTATGAGGATAGACTGAGGGCCCTGAAACTGCACTCTCTAGAAAGAAGTAGAATTAGGGGGGATATGATTGAGGTGTATAAGTGGAAGACAGGAATAAATAAAGGGGATGTAAATAGTGTGCTGAAAATATCTAGCCTAGACAGGACTCGCAGCAATGGTTTTAAGTTGGAAAAATTCAGATTCAGGAAGGATATAGGAAAGTACTGGTTTGGTAATAGAGTTGTGGATGAGTGGAACAAACTCCCAAGTACCGTTATAGAGGCCAGAACGTTGTGTAGCTTTAAAAATAGGTTGGATAAATACATGAGTAGATGTGGGTGGGTGTGAGTTAGACCTGATAGCTTGTGCTAACAGGTCGGTTGCCGTGTTCCTCCCTTAAGTCAATGTGACCTGACCTGTCTAGGTTGGGTGCATTGGCTTAAGCCGGTAGGAGACTTGGACCTGCCTCGCATGGGCCAGTAGGCCTTCTGCAGTGTTCCTTCGTTCTTATGTTCTTATGTTCTTATATGTACTGTTAGATCGACACCATACCTAACCCTTCTAGGGTCGGGTAGGTGCCTGAGTCCGAGCTTTTAGCTCATAAGACTGTCATTCCCATTAACCCCCTTGGGGCGGGGATGGCAGACCAGAGAGGCCTAGCTTGTGGCTAGGCCTGGGGACAGTTGGTCCCAAAGATGAGGAGGTACTTGTGCCTCCTCCCATGGGAGACTTAGGTCTCAGACGCTCCCTAAAGAGGGAGCCAAGGCCGGGCCACCACTTGGAGAAGGCCCGGGCCGGGAGAATACCGGCTAATCTCTAATAATAATAATAATGTACTGTTTAATACACAGAAAATACTAACATGCCTGACTATTTCTGGAAGTGAGTTAATAATGACTCTTCTCTCGTTCTTTTTCATTCTTTTTTATGCTATTTAGTGGTATAAACCTTGGTAATAAATACCGACAAGTTGGTTTAGAAAGACACGTAAGCAAACACTATAACATATTTATTAGAAAACGTTTCGGTCCTGGGACCTTGATCACTTCTAACATACAGAGGAAGAAAGACATTATATATATAGGCGGAGAGTGAAATGTGACATTCTTCAGGTCACGTGCGTCACACCTCACTCTCCGCCTATATTTATTTATTTATTTATTTATTTTCAATTTGTGCACACATACAGAGGTACAAAAAAATACAGGTAAGAGCAGTATGCCAAAGCCACTTATACTATGCATAGCATTACGGGCTGGCTTAAAATTAACTTAAGATTAACTAAGCAATGATGAAATCAGTGATAAAACATTAATGTAAACAGATTACTATAAAGCACAAGTGAGTATTACAAAGACAGGTCATATTGTTGCATTCAGTTAGGTAGTGATTCTGTTAGGTAGTGTATTTAAAAAATAATAAAGTTAGATTCGGTTTTAGGTTTAACATTTATATGATATAATTGTGAGAAACATTTAAGATATACAATTTAAAGGTTCAGTTATTCAGTATTTATTTGGTTTTGGGTGAGTAAGTGATCTTTGAGAAGAGACTTGAATTTATAATCAGGTAGTGTTTCTTTTATATTTACAGGTAATAATTCCAGATTTTAGGGCCTTTTATGATGCATTGAGTTTTGCATAGTGTGAGATGGACACGGGGAAACATCAAAGAGTGATCTGTGCCTTGTGTTATGGTCATGTGTTCTGTTGAGGTTGGCAAGGAGATGTTTGAGGGGAGGGTTTAAAATCAGAGTTAAGTGTTCTATGTATGTAATAGGTGCAGTAATAAGTATGGATGTTTTGTATGGTGAGTAGGTTTAGTGTAAATTTAATATTGGTGGAGTGTGCTGCCTGTAGTGAGAATTTGTTATCATTCTAACTGCAGCCTTTTGTTGAGTAATTAGTGGTCTGAGATGGTTAATTGTTGTTGAGCCCATGCACAAATTCCATAGTGAGATAGGGGTAAATAAGAGAGTGATATAGGGCCAGGAGGGCTGACTGTGGAACATAGTACCGTATCTTCGATAGTATGCCTACAGTCTTGGAAATTTTCTTAGAGATGTGTTGTATATGTGTATGAAATTTGAGTCTATTATCAAGGTGGATTCCTAAGAATTTTCCCTCTGTTAGTTTTGTGATAGGTGATCCGTTTATCATTATTTAAGAGGGACATCTGTAGCTCTGTTACCAAACTGAATGAAGTAGGTTTTGTCAATGTTTAGTGTAAGTTTGTTAGTCCTCATCCAGGTAGATATTTTCTGTAATTCGGTATTTACAGTATTGGCTAGCGTGACTGGGCTCGGGTGAGAGAATACGTATGTAGTGTCATCTGCAAATAGTGTGGGTTTGAGTAATTGCGAAGCATTTGGAAGGTCATTTATGTATAGGAGAAAGAGAAGAGGGCCAAGGACACTTCCCTGTGGGACACCAACTGTAATTGGTTGCGCAGAAGAGTTGCCCATTTGCGTACACATATTGGCTTCTGTTGCTGAGGTAGACTTGAGGTAGTTGAGGGAGTGCCCTCTTATACCATAGTGTGACAATTTTACGTGGAGCAAGTCATGGTCAACTGTATCAAAAGCTTTACGTAAGTCAATGAAGATCCCCAGTGGGACTTCTTTTTTCTCTATTGCAGTGTATATATGTTCTAGCATGTGTATAATAGCATCATTAGTATTTTTTATTAGGCCTGAATCCAAATTGGCAGGGGTTGAGTATGTTTTGGGAGATAAGGTAGGAGTAGATTCGTTTATGAATTAATTTTCAAAGATTTTTGAGAGAGGGTGTGAGTTGGATATTGGCCTATAGTTATTCAACTCTGTTTGGTCTCCTCCTTTGTGGATCGGGGTGACCCTTGCTATTTTGAGTACTGTAGGGAAGGTGGAGGATTCAATGGATTTGTTAAAGAGTGTTGCAATGATTGGTGATAGCACTTGTGACACTTTTTTGTATATAAAGGGGGGTAAGGTATTTAAATCTCCTGCCTTGTTTTTTAGTGCGTTGATAATAAGGGAGACTTCATATGGGTTAGTCGGAGCTAGGAACAGAGTGTTCGGGTAGTTGCCGGTGAGGTAGTCATTTGGTGGGGTATCTGAGCTTGGGATTTTTTTGGCAAGGTTTTGTCCTATAGTGGAGAAGAAATCATTGAGTCTGTTTTGCTGTTTCTGTTTTGGGGGGAGTTGGGGTTTCATCTGATTTTGCTAATTTTATTTCGCTATTTCGTGATATCTTTTTTGTTCCCAGAATTTCTGATAGGGTTTTCCAGGTCTTTTTTATATCACCTCGTAAGTTGGATAATCTGTTCTCATAATACAATTTTTTTGCCCTTCTTATCAGGCTGGTTAGGATTGACGAGTAACGTTTTGTTTGGTCTCTGGGTTTTGTGACCCATTCTGTACTGTTTTTCATATTGGTGTTTTGTATTTATGGATTTGAGAATGCTGGGTGTTAGCCAGGACTGTTCAGTCTCTTTGCTGTCATCTGTTTTAGTTTTTTTAGGGCAGTGCTTGTTATAGAGGTATTGGGTCTTTTTAGAAAATTATTATACATTCGTCAATATCTGTATAGGTTTCTAGCTCAGTGTGCCAATCGATGTTTGCTATTGCTGTTGTGAAGTTTATTAATGGCTGCCTCATTGTGAAGTCTGAAGGTGACTTTAGTAGTGTCTTGGGGTAGTTTACCAGAGTTGTTATGAGGAAAGTAGGTAGTGGTCTGTGGTATTATCTGTAATTATGCCTGATTTTAAAGGGGATATGGTGTTGGTCCAGATGTGGTCAAGTAGGGAAACACTAGTCTCTGTAACTCTTGTAGGTTTTGTTACTGTTGGTAGTAACATACAGTTATTCATTGTGTTTGTGAATTCAGTAACGTGTGGGTCCTGGTCTTGCAGGAGATTTATATTGAAGTCACCTGAGAGTAGTAAGTGATCTTTGTTCATGCGTGCATCAGTTATCATACTTCCTAGATTTTGACTAAATTGGCTAATGTTTGACTGTGGAACTCTGTAGATGTTTATCAATGTGAGAGGTTTTTGTAGGTACTTGGATTTGAATTTAGCTATTATATATTCCCCATGTTCATCCCTTGTGCAAGTATTAGTGATACATTGTAGTTGGTCTGAGTAGTATATGGCTGTGCCACCCCCTTGTTGGTCTGGCCTACAGTTGTGTATGGCTGTGTATCCAGGAATGGAATAGACATCTGTACTATCAGGCTTTAGCCAGGTTTCAGTTAGTGTAATGATGGACATATTGGCGTCACACCTCACTCTCCGCCTATATATATAATGTCTTTCTACCTCTGTATGTTAGAAGTGATCAAGGTCCCAGGACCGAAACGTTTTCTAATAAATATGTTATAGTGTTTGCTTACGTGTCTTTCTAAACCACGCTATTTAGTGTAAGGGAATTAAAAAAGTCGAACGATAATATAATAAAACTATTGATAATGATAATTATAATAAAGGTAATAATAATATTATTAGTAGTAGTAATACTATCATTACTACAACTAATACTACTACTGTTACTACTAATGCTACTGTTAATAATGATAATGATGATAATGATAATGGTAATAGTAATAAGGATAATAATAATAATAATAATGGCAATAGTAATGATGGTAATAATAATAATTATATTACTACTACTACTACTACTACTACTACTACTACTACTACTACTACTACTACTACTACTACTACTACTAATAATAATAATAATAATAATAATAATAATAATATAAAAATAAAATTTAAGTTAACATCAACATGATTTTATTGCATATATTATTAATAATTAATTATTAATAGGATAGCTTAAAACATTATTGATATTATCATTGTATTTTTCAAATACATCACGTGAAATATATACACCTTAAAGTGTATATTTCTCATTGTATAGCCTCTGAGATTTTGATTTAATCCCCTGTGTTAGGGATTAAAGTATTGCTGACTGGTGGTGAAAATGCGACATGCGGCCTTAATTGCCCTCATGTAGTCGATAGGTTTGAAACCCTTTTAACAAACCCTATCTTCCAGATCCGTCCATCTGTTTGCTTGCCTCCCCACCGAGGACGGTGTCGAGCATATTTGATTTTCTTTCACTATAACCCAAAATTAAACACCTGTGAACGGTAGGTGACATGCTTTAATTACAATATATATAATATATATATATATATATATATATATATATATATATATATATATATATATATATATATATATATATATATATATATATATATATATATATATATATATATATATATATATATATATATTTTTTTTTTTTTTTTTTTTTTTTTTTTTTTTTTTTTTTTCAACAAGTCGGCCGTCTCCCACCGAGGCAGGGTGACCCAAAAAAGAAAGAAAATCCCCAAAAAGAGAATACTTTCATCATCATTCAACACTTTCACCACACTCACACATTATCACTGCTTTTGCAGAGGTGCTCAGAGTACAACAGTTTAGAAGCATATACGTATAAAGATACACAACATATCCCTCCAAACTGCCAATATCCCAAACCCCTCCTTTAAAGTGCAGGCATTGTACTTCCCATTTCCAGGACTCAAGTCCGACTATAAGAAAATAACCGGTTTCCCTGAATCCCTTCACTAAATATTACCCTGCTCACACTCCAACAGATCGTCAGGTCCCAAGTATCATTCGTCTCCATTCACTCCTATCTAACACGCTCATGCACGCTTATATATATATATATATATATATATATATATATATATATATATGTCGTGCCGAATAGGCAGAAGTTGCGATCTTGGCTTAAATAGCAACGCTCATCTTGCCATATAGGACAAGTGAAAATTTGTGTATGCAATAATTTCGCCAAAATTATTCTGAACCTAACGAAAAAAATATATTTCACTGTGTTTGTTTAGTATTAAATTATTGCAAACAAATCTAAAATATATTAAGTTGGGTTAGGCTAAAATAAATTGTTCTTGTTATAATAAGTTAGGTAAGTTTTCTAAGTTCCTTTTGGTGCAAAATTATAATTTTTTACATCAACATTAATGAAAAAAAAATATCTTTAAACGTATAAGAGAAAATTTTAGAAAGGACTTAATTTTAAATGAGTTCTTGCTAATTGACCAGTTTTACATATTCGGCACGACATATATATATATATATATATATATATATATATATATATATATATATATATATATATATATATATATATATATATATATATATATATAAAATATGTCGTGCCGAATAGGCAGAACTTGCGATCTTGGCTTAAATAGCAACGCTCATCTTGCCATATAGGACAAGTGAAAATTTATGTATACAAAAATTTTGCCAAAATCATTCTGAACCTAACGAAAATAAATTATTTCACTGTGTTTATTTAGTATTAAATTACTGTAAACAAATCTAAAATATATTTAGTTGGGTTAGGCTAAAATAAATTACTCTTGTTATAATAAGGTTAGGTAAGTTTTCTAAGATTCTTTTGGAGCAAAGTTAAAATTTTTTACATTAAAATTAATGAAAAAAATATATCTTTAAGCGTATAAGAGAAATTTTCAGAAAGGACTTAATTTTAAATGAGTTCTTGCTAATTGACCAGTTTTGCATATTCGGCACGACATATATAATATATATATATATATATATATATATATATATATATATATATATATATATATATATATATTATTATATTTCTCTTGACTAATGATAAAGATAATGATTAGTTTGGGAATAATCATAGAAATAATACTTTAATCATCGTATTTCCGTGGGATGGTCATTCACTCCAAGATATTTCTCCTCAGGTTCGTCTATGGAGGCTGTGGAGGCAACGGGAATAATTTCCGAACCTTTGAGAAGTGCATGTCTACCTGTGGAGTCGCCGAACAAGACAACGACCTGACTTCTTACTGACACCGAGGAACACTGATGACGGGTAAATTAGTACGCGAAACCCTTAATGGTTTTAAGTATATAGACGGGTAACAGCCGTCAAATACTCTGTGAAATTGCGTTTAATTATTTCGTATTGTTCATGGGAGTTAATTGATTCTAGCTGTACCTCCGAACTTTGGAAGGAATACATTGCATCAGAGTCTCGAGTTATAACAACTGAACCACCACGAAATAGCCTCAGAATTTAACAAATGATTCAAAAGCGAAATGGAATAGATGTAATGGCGACCCCGTGACCTGGCTGGCAAAGCTGTCGCTTCACACACGGAGGGTCCGCGTTCGATTCCCGGCGGGTGAAAACATTTCGACGCATTTCCTTACACCTGTTGTTCTGTTTACCTAGCAGCAAATAGGTACCTGGGTGTTAGTTAACTGGTGTGGGTCGCATCCTGAGGGACAATATTGAGGATCACAATGGGTGGCTAACTCTCCAGGGTTAAAAATCCGAACGAAAGCTTATCTTACTGCCGATAATAATGTTTAGACACACTCTGAAGAGCCTACTTTAATGGTTTAACGTAGAGCTTTAACGAAGCTCTATGCAGAGTGAAGAGCTGTCCCAGCTAAGCTTATTCTCCAACGTTTGTTCTTTCTTCGAAAAGAAGAGAAAGAAAAAATGGACATTCACGGTCATGCGAGTAAATTTCGTAAATCATGACTATCAGATTTTCACGAATTTATTCAAGATACGTAAATCCTAAATTGTTATTTTATGTGAATGTATTCATGGGTAAGCATTAAGCCCTTAGGGGCTTAACACGGGGAGATTTAACACAGTGGTAGAATATACCAACAGTATGTAAATAAGACAGTGTGAGGGGGTTAGGGTATTTTGTTTTCGAAGACGTCTCGCCCACCAGGGAGACTTTCATCAGTTTACTTTATGAACCGATGAAGTCCCTGATGAGCGAAACGTCGTCATTAATAAAACTGGAGCAATTTCACAAACGTACTGTATATAACAGCTTAGCGGATCCTGCGCCAGAAGTCTATCAAAGCTCTGAGAAAAAAAAAATCTGCTATCCTTTCCCTTTTCCATCGGTTTACAGTAGTAATCTCCTGTTTTTTTCAAAAGAAATACCGAAAATACTTTATTTTTTCCTCTTGCTTTCTTTCCTGATGTCAAATATGACCTTCTTCCGATGTTTTTTCATTAGTGACCCACGTGACCAGAAATACATTTGTATGTGGGCAGCAGTATTTTTTTTTTTCATTGGTAGAAATGGTGAAGTACTGTATATTATATATTTAAAAAAAAATCAAGATTTTTAAGTCTTAATAAAATCGTTTAAAAAGTTTAATAGGCTTTATTAGTGTGTGTTGACATTAGGTCTCCAAAATGGATTTAGGCAGGTGTTGCACCTGTGTTTTATTCATCTCAAAAACTGTGTCGAAACACCAGGTGTCTGGTATTTTTGTCTTTTTTATATGTTGTTAGCTGAGGATACAACACCACCTCTGTATATTAAAATTTTAGTATACTATCTTCAACAGATAATTTGACATGATCTCCCCTGTGGTGGACGGGGCCGCGCGGGTGTTGAGCCCTGGAACACCCTCCGGGTATATCATGGAATGACACCCGTTTAAACATCTTGTATATAAAGACATTCTGCAGAATATATCAGAGATGAGAGAGATAACTGCGAATAAATCTTGAAAATACTGATAGAAAATGGAAATGAAAACCATGAAAGAATGTGGAAAAAAAGGGAAACCCATGGCACACACACACACACACACACACACACACACACACACACACACACACACACACACACACACACACACACACACACACACACACACACACACACACACACACACACACACATGATAACGACATGATAACGACATACAAAATACTGAGAGGAATTGACAAGGTGGACAAAGACAGGATGTTCCAGAGACTGGACACAGTAACAAGGGGACACAGTTGGAAGCTGAAGACACAGATGAATCACAGGGATGTTAGGAAGTATTTCTTCAGCCACAGAGTAGTCAGTAAGTGGAATAGTTTGGGAAGCGATGTAGTGGAGGCAGGATCCATACATAGCTTTAAGCAGAGGTATGATAAAGCTCACGGCTCAGGGAGAGTGACCTAGTAGCGATCAGTGAAGAGGCGGGGCCAGGAGCTCGGACTCGACCTCCGCAACCTCAACTAGGTGAGTACAACTAGGTGAGTACACACACACACACACACACACACACACACACACACACACACACACACACACACACACACACACACACACACACACACACACACACACACACATACATAGTATGCAGCACCAGTGGTCAGGAAGTGGAACAGTCTGGCGAGTGAGGTAGTGGAAGCAGGAACCATACATAGCTTTAAGAAGAGCTGTGATAAAGCTCAGGGAGCAGGGAGAGAGAAGACCTAATAGCGAGCAGTGAAGAGGCGGGGCCAGGAGCTGAGTCTCGACCCCTGCAACCACAATTAGGTGTGCACACACACACACACACATATATATATATAGCTTTAAGAAGAGGTATGACAAAGCTCATGGAGCAGGAAGAGTGACCTAGTAACGACCAGTGAAGTGGTGGGGCCCAGGAGCTGTGACTCGACCCCTGCAACCACAACTAGATGAGTATACACACACACACACACACACATACATTTCTTTCTTGCAAAAAATTATCTCGGACCAACCAGCTGTTTTTATCGTACACTTAAGACTCGGTATAAACAACCTTTAAACCCTTGGCTCGTGGTTTCCTATCCTCCATTCCTACCCTCCTCAGTCTCATTGTTTCTTTTTCTTTATTCTTCTCTTTCCTCTCAATTCCTTTTAGATGCAGTGCAACCAATCATATTAGTTTTATGGTATATTTTGCACCAGTCGGCACCATGTATACATGAGCCACCCCTTTCATACCTCACCTCCAGGGTTTGGGAATACCGTTTTCTTTTTGTTTTGTGGTATAATGGAGAGTGAGAGAGAGAGAGAGTAACTATATTACATTCTGGCGCTGTGTTCATTTTCCTACAAGTTAAAGCAAGATAGTCACCCAGGATAACCTGATAAAGTCAATGCAACGTCGGGGACTGTCCGTCTTATTTCTACTGCGGTCGTGTTAAGGCTTCTGCTGTCTAAATACTTTCACAGTTCCTCCATTATGTGAGAAATCACGAATGTGCTCATATATATATATATATATATATAATATATATATATATATATATATAATATATATATATATATATATATATATATATATATATATATATATATATATATATATATATATATATATATATATATAAATATAATATATATATATATATATATATATATATATATATAATTAGCGTGGGTATTCTATAGATATATTGTCCGGTGTGGCCCGGTGGCCTGGTGGCTACAGCTCCCGCTTCACACACGGAGGGCCCGGGTTCGATTCCCGGCGGGTGGAAACATTTCGACAGTGTTCCTTACACCTGTTGTCCTGTTCACCTAGCAGCAAATAGGTACCTGGGTGTTAGTCGACTGGTGTGGGTCGCATCCTGGGGGACAAGATTAAGGACCCCAATGGAAATAAGTTAGACAGTCCTCGATGACGCACTGACTTTCTTGGGTTATCCTGGGTGGCTAACCCTCCGGGGTTAAAAATCCGAACGAAATCTTATCTTGTCTATTGTGATTTTTTTCATTGCTTTCGTAGCATTATGTATTTTAGGAATCAATCATAGAATCCTTAAACCATGGTGAGCAGCAAGATTGTGGTAGTCTAGACACTTACTAGTTAATTCTTTCTTCTACACACACCATCAGCAAACATCGAAGTGTGCCAACACATATTCTTGATAATATTGAGAAATGAAAGGGCGTGATATCTCAAGGCTACGAGAGTTATGTGATATTTTATTTCCTTCTACAGGCACAGGTACACCTATCAGTGCTGAGTCCAGCTTGAGGAAGCAGCACCAATACACCAGGTGTGTGAGACGCCTGTTGCAGCAGCAGCAGCAGCAGCAGCAGCAGCAGCAGCAGCAGCAGCAGCAGCAGCAGCAGCAGCAGCAGCAGCAGCAGCAGCAGCAGCAGCAGCAGCAGCCTCAGCAGCAGCAGCAGCAGGAGCAGTAGCGCCTTAACCACATCACAGCTGTACCTTGGCTGCTGCAGAAAGAGCATAGAGTCTTTTAAAATATTGCCTTCAGTAACGAATAAAACACACGTTAGCAGGACAAGACAACAACATTTTGCACTCTACAGAGCTTAGTCAAGTTGTATGCAGGTGTATTTTATACAATCTGTTTGACGTTGTTGCAATAAAAGTTTGTGCAACACGTGGTATACCACGAGGCTGGTCAAGGACGGGGGCGTTGACTCCCCGGAACACCTCCAGGCAGACCACCTAATGTTAAAAAACACTACATGGAAAAAAATACACTGAGTATACATGGTGTTCCGGGGGTCAACGCCCCCCGCTGCCCGGTCCATGACCAGAACAGGAAATAGATTCTGGGTCTGTGTAATTTTTCAGTATGATATTGTTTCATGTGTGCAGTCAGGTGTTTTAAAGAGAGTATCTTCTTACTGCCTGTGTTAAAGGTTGAATCCCTCTTGAAATACCTGCTGTGCCAAGCTATAATGGCTTTACCAGTAATGCTGCAAATTACAGCTGTTGTATCCATCATGTTACAGCTACTGTACCCATCCTATTGCAGCTGCTGCATCCATCCTGTTGCAGCTGCTGCACCCATCCATTTACAGCTGCTGCACCCATCCTGTTGCAGCTGCTGCACCCATCCTGTTACAGCTGCTGCACCCATCCTGTTGCAGCTGCTGCACCCATCCATTTACAGCTGCTGCACCCATCCTGTTGCAGCTGCTGCACCCATCCTGTTACAGCTGCTGCACCCATCCTGTTACAGCTGCTGCATCAAGCCTGTCACTTAGCTTAGTCTAATTATTTATTTAGTTGAGCAATGAAGACAATGTATCATAACATATACTGTATAAATAATTAAAAATTTTTACTGAATATACTTTTAATTATTGTCTTTAATATTGTCTGTGTGGGATTTACCTCTTAACTGATCAGTTTTTATGTCTAAAAGGGAACTAAATAACACTCGAAAAAAAAGGTTTCAGTAAAGGTATATATAAAGTCTAATTTAAGTCCTTATTATGTCTATATTAAGTGTTTTTCAAGTCTATATAAAGTGTACATCAAAGTTATATCAAGTCTATATCAAGGTTGTATCAAGGTTGTATCAAGTCTGTATCAAGTGCGAGTCAAGTTAGTATCAAGTTTTTATCATGCTACGTGTGTGTTTTTATAAACATTTTATCGATTTCTGTTTCACTATAGAACTGAAAGACTTTATGACATAAACATTCCTGGCAACAGGAATGATAAACACTAACTACTGTACAGTCATCCCTCAAAATGACTTAATTTCACTGGCTACTGTGTCAGTTTTTCTTTATTTAACCTGCGAGTTTCAGGACTCACTCACCTGTTATGTGATTCGCATATTTAGCCTAGTTCCTGGAAAGTGAATTTGCTAGTTACCTTCATTCCAGACTCTCGACAGAATATAACTTGACGAATTATTTTAGCTGCGACCACTTACTAGGACTTAACACCTACCTCCAAGATGTCATGACATTACCTTTGTTGAAGTGGAGATCCAAGTGGCGGTGTTGGGGGTAGTGAAGGGGGTTGAGGTGATGCAGAGTGTGGTTGTAGTGGTGATGGCTGTATTGATGGTGGATGGTAGTGATGGAGGCCCTACGTACATCTGTACATTATTTGATGGTTATCTGTTTAATTTTTAATTATTAATGTTTACTGGTGTGGACTCTGTCTCAGTAAGAGGGCTGCTTCTGCATTCTAGGTGGTAAGTGAACCTAGCGTTGCCAAGCTTTGTGGTCTCGGCCAATTTCAAAACTGAATAAACTTTGTCTCGGGCTGCCTTGTTGACGTCTACACGCTGTGTTGTGTGGCTTCAATTTATTTATTTATTTATTAACAATTTGAGCATACATACAGAGGTACAAAAAAATACAGATAAGAGCAGCATGCCAAAGCCACTATACTATGCGCACACATGCACAGTGTGGGGCTGTGGTCGTGTGTTGGTCGTGTGCTCACTGATAATGTGTTGGTCTAAAATTAAGAGTGATGTATATTTTTAACTTGACTAGTCCAGTGTCGAACTTAGAATAATACTAACTATGTGCTGATTAACTTACATATGGCGTTCAGGCAGGTAAACTTTTAATCAGATATTATTTTAGGTGCTGTCCTGTGACTAGTATTTGCAATGCAGACTGCGTTACCAGTTTTTCCGAGCAAGTGACCATACACGCACGAACACATGAGCGCACACACACACACACACGCCACACACACACACACACACACACGCACACACACACACACACACACACACACACACACACACACACACACACACACACACACACACACACACACACACACACACACACACACACACACACACACACATAAATATTCGTGTCCAACAAAGTGCTCCTCGATACCCAGTGTTCATATTGGTTAATTGATTCAGGTCCTTTTTTCCGGCGTCATCCAGTATGATGCACTGCAGCCATTAGCCTCACCTCAGAGTCAACCTAATATTTATTTTCAGTCTTTTCATCCCAGAACACACAATTTTTTGCGGAAAATCCATACTTAATATTAGCAAACGATGTTTGGAAAAATACACACATCCAAATGATAAAAATTTTAAGAAGCTGGAAGACGTTATGCAGTTAGGAGATATAGAAGGACCTTAACCTCTGACATTACAGTCATAATCTGACAAGTTCCAGGAAGATGGAAAGTGTATGAAGTGTTTCAAATAAATAAAAAAACAGGGAGATGAGAGAAGGGTCCAACAGCGTTTTAGGAGTATATTGTGTGAGGGGAAAAAGGTGCCATAAACTACGAAGTAATTCCGTGAAGGAGGGAGGACAGGAGCGTTGCAACTGGTGGAGGAACAGAGGGTCTGAACTCGGAGCTAGAAACAGAGAGGGAATAGTGATGTGATTATAATTGGTGTACACAGTAATCTGTGGAGCTGCGAGAGCCTGACACCCGCAATTGCATAGCGGATCTGATCAATGTGGGGAAGGAATGTACAGGGCTTCATGGGAGAGGTAGATAGCAGATGGCTTTCCAGTCCACACTGAAGCTGTCGTAAAGACGACTGCAGCTACTGCTGTTACTGCTTTTACCACTGCTACTACTGCTACTACTGCTACTATCACTACTATCTCGATGGAGGACTGTCGATTACTATTAGATTTTTGAGGCAATGATAGAGGAAGTAAAATGTTCTCTCATGCAGTGGCCGGAGGGAATGGAGATTGAAATGTAAATAGGAAATGGAAAATAAATTATTTTTTTTTTGTATTTGTAATACAATGCTGAACTAGGAACTCAGGTTTTTTCAATTTAATAACGAGAATTCTCATTTGTCAAAATGTACCAACACAACCGCCTCAATTCTTTTCCTTTCATTAATAATACGTTAAAAATCCACTGATATCTTATAATTTCCCTCAAGGGAACTCTAGATACAAGAAACCGGAGCTCTCTACTCATTTCTTAGACTGCACCTGATTGCACCCGACTGTCTCTGATTGTCTCCTTGATTGTGTTAAATTAATTACTAAGCAATTGACAGAATTTAGGTTGCCTTAATAAGGAATTAAGCCATTTGCAACAAAATAAGCAACAATACACAAAGGTCTAAGAGTATTTTATGTTGCATTGAAAGAGGCAGAAAGAAGGTCAGTATACTGTATACGACAATCAAAAACACTCTTAAATCATCAGTTTTGTCAATCGGCCGAAATGCCGTTTTGTCCACAAGTGTGAATATGAAGACAGAACAAGCTTCGCTGAGGCAACATTTCGCTCTTTGTAGAGCTTCATCAATTAATGGCTTGATAAAGCTCCATACAGAATGAGAGTTAAAGACACCTCTACGCATTTTAAATTGTTCTTGCTACACGGATCAAAACCTCGGCTTCAATAAAAGTTTGATTTACGACTCATAGCTTAGTACTTGAATCATATTAAATTACCGACAAATGTGATTAAAAACAACTCTCTTTTCAGACAACGTTTCGCTCCACAGGGGCTTTATCTATTCGAAGCATCCCATGAGGACAAAACGCTGTATTTAAACTAAAGTTAAAGCTCGGCCGGAGATCAGGTGAGGCTGGAGTCTCGTGTTTGACGAGCATTGAGCAGTCGCTGGGCCGGACCTCAGGTGAGGCTGGAGTCTCGTGTTTGACGAGCATTGAGCAGTCGCAGGGCCGGACCTCAGGTGAGGCTGGAGGTAATAAAACGCTTTCTCGTGTTATTAGTAGCAAAATGTTTAATCAAATTGACGTGTAGAGTATAAATACCCAGACTACTGCTACAACAAACAGGCCTTGCATACACACCATATATTTTAGCATCATTCCGTACTGCATCTACAACTAATTACATAACAAACATACATTTGTTCTAGTCTCGTTTTCTTAAATATTCATATGATTAAAGGGGAAAAAAATAGTTATTCAGTAATGATTTTTTTCCTTCATATAAACGGCCAAAGCAAAAAATACCGAACATTGATAAACAGTCATGTGTGCATCACATTAATTACGTATATATGTCTGCCATAGGAAAACAGTAGCCATTTTTTTCCATTGTTTTAGGTGTAATATATTTTTTCGAGTTTGTCTACATTGAAACGCTAATCTAATATATATATATATATATATATATATATATATATATATATATATATATATATATATATATATATATATATATATATATATATATAATTTACATATGTACACTGTAAAGCTAACACAAGTCATCTAAACTAAGGCAACATCAATCATCGAAAATATAAATATATATGGAATTTTAATAATGGACCTTAACTCCTCTGTAACTCACTCTCAAATAAAAACATACACAAATACTCACAGATATAGACGTCAATACACACACACACACACACACACACACACACACACACACACACGGGCCAGGAGCTTGGACTCGACCCCTGCAACCTCAACTAGGTGAGTACACACACACACACACTCACGTTATATTAGTTTTTCTCATTTTTATGTGAACTGAAATATAAACTGCTTCTTATATGGGAAAATATTCAGTCTTAAAACATCAAGTATATCGAAGCCTTCCTCCAACCATGGCAGGTTTATTTACTAGGTAACCCTGCAGGCTTTATTTACTAGGTAACCCTGCAGGCTTTATTTACTAGGTAACCCTGCAGGCTTTATTTATTCCCCTGCACCTGTTTGTTCTCAATGTTCAGCATACATAACATTACTCTCTAGCACTTGTTAATTCTCATTGTTCAACTTGTACAGGAGGAAGGGTGATGTTCCACGACTACGTAATGCATCAGGTGAGTTGGGTACCTTTAATACGTCCGTCGCGGCCGTTCTATGTACCGTCCGTCGCTACCGATGTGATAAGTGGTACTCATATGTAATACCTGGGTCCCGACCACATGTGAAGATGCCTTCGACTGCTGCATTTCTCCTCTCGCTCGTGTATATAAGTCTCATTATTCTTGTTTCTGTCTTCAGATTCATCAAGGTGAGGGACTGATCACCTAAAATTACCTCTCTATTTCTTCCACCGTCTCCACTTGTAATTCTCTGAATTGGATTTAAAAAATTAATTGATTAGTGAGACGTCTTCACCAATGAAGTTACCCAGATATTACACATAAGTTTTATTCATTAACTTGTCGGTTTTAAATACCATTAATGTAATGGTAGTCAGTATGTATGGTTTTAGACACATCGTACGTTGCAGCCGCTGTGTGACTGCACAAACACCGTCTGTTGCAAATGCTGCATGGTTCTAGATTATGCTGTTCCTTGCAGCTAGTATGTGTGCATCTAGATACATCTTCCGTGGCAGATGTTTTGTGTTGTCCAAGATACATCATCTATCGCTGTGCTTCATGACATGTTTTCTGCCTCGGCTGAAGCTTGAGGTTTGGACAGTAATCGTCGCAGCAGGCTGGTGGTGAGGTGCCAGTTCTGGCACTACATGTCTCAGTACGGATGAGAGGAGCCGGCACGGCTTCCATCGCATCGGCTGACCGCGTCCGTCGCATGCAAGCGAGTGAAGTCCCGACGCAGGAGGTTATCGAGGTGCCTGCAATACGGAAGTCGCAGCAGCTGGGGGGAAACAAAAGTTCCCAGTGTACTCCGGACGGTCCAAAACAACACGTCTGTCGCTACAGGAAGACGAGGCGCCGGCACTAGGTACGTCGCATCTGGAGCTCCGTCACACGCACATCAGCATCCCTCCCTCCTGTGCTTCATCATCTGAGCCGCTGAGGCATCACGAGAACCAGGAGTTGCAGCATCACCAGCAGTGTCACCAGTCTGAAGGAGGGTGTGGTGCCTCCACCAGTCTGCATGGCCGCCGGCTGCTCTCCTGAGGAAGAAATATCACAAAAAGTCACTTTCATTAACATAGTGAAAATAATTACTCAAATAAAAACATTAACCAAATTAAAAAAAGAGAACATTTCAAAGCTTCACTCGTATATATATATATATATATATATATATATATATATATATAATATATATATATATATATATATATATATGTGGCATGCAAAGAGTACGTAACCTTTATTCGGCGCATGGACACACCCTCATTTACAGGCTATCTCCCCCAACCAGCGAACCAGGTTGCTAAGAGTTGATGATGGGGCCCCATCGTTCAACTAGTGACCAGGTTCTAGCCAATAAGAAGGTGGGATTGACAATCGCAGAGGTTATGTGGATACCGCTCTCCTGTCTGCCCTTGTTATTCCCACTCTAGAGCTGGTTTGAAGCACGGTCTGCTATACTTGTGGCTTCTATTTTGCCTTGCTTACGTGGATTTGCACTAAAATATTATCACTGTACATCAGTGTACATTTGCTTTATTTGGTGAAGGATAATATGTCTAAACTTTTTCTTACTGTGTTATTTGTCCATACATGGATAACGGCACTTTGAGAATCCTAGGTTGTAATCATATATATATCCATAGATTATATATACTAATACGGATAGTCATCATGGAAACAAAAATTATTATACTACGGTCAAAAAAACACGTCTGACAGAAAAGGCCGGCACGTCGGTTGGAGCTGCACAGCATTAAATTTTCCATAGGTAATATACATAAAAGTCAGGAGGTGAGATCACAGCCTGAAGCAGTGTTCCAGCAAGACTAGGAGATGGTGCCTACAGTGCATGCGCCAACTCTCTCCTGAGTGAAGAATTATCACAGTCACCAGCTGTGAAATAATACCGCAAATATTACCCCGAAATAAACACAGAAAATGTAAAAGTTCGACTGTTTATACAACATGACTGGATATTTATACACTCTAGACTAATTTTAACAACTCTAGACTAATTTTTATACATTAGGATAATTTTATACCACTCTGGCTGGGTGCGCATGGTTTATAACATCAGGACCGTGGTGCACAGTATTATTCCACTTCCAGAAGACCGGGTGAGTCTAAATACAAAACTCTAGACTTGGGCCATGTTTATCACGCCAGGTGCTGGGCACGTTTTACACCAATCAACCTGAATGTATATCTAGGCGGGATGTTTATACCACATGACCTGGGCACATGTTTATACCACTCTAGGACCTGGGCACATGTTTATACCACTCTAGGACCTGGGTGCATGTTTATACCACTCTAGGACCTGGGCACATGTTTATACCACTCTAGGACCTGGACACATGTTTATACCACTCCAGGACCTGGGCACATGTTTATACCACTCTAGGACCTGGGCACATGTTTATACCACTCTAGGATCTGGGCACATGTTTATACCACTCCAGGACCTGGGCGCATGTTTATACCACTCTAGGACCTGGGCGCATGTTTATACCACTCTAGGACCTGGGCACATGTTTATACCACTCCAGGACCTGGGCGTATGTTTATACCACTCCAGGACCTGGGTGTATGTTTATACCACTCAGGACCTGGGGTATGTTTATACCACTCCAGGACCTGGGCTATGTTTATACCACTCCTAGGATCTGGGGATGTTTATACCACTCCAGGACCTGGGCATGTTTTATACCACTCCAGGACCTGGGTGTAAGTTTATACCACTCCAGGACCTGGGTGTATGTTTATACCACTCCAGGACCTGGGTGTATGTTTATACCACTCCAGGACCTGGGTGTATGTTTATAACCACTCCAGGACCTGGGTGCATGTTTATACCACTCAGGACCTGGGAATATTTAACCACTCCAGGACCTGGGCAATCTTTTATACCACTCCAGGACCTGGGCAATGTTATACCACTCTAGGACCTGGGATGTTTATACCACTCCAGGACCTGGGTAATGTTTATACCACTCCAGGACCTGGGTGTATGTTTATACCACTCCAGGACCTGGGCAAGTTTATACCATCTAGGACCTGGGGCATGTTTAACCACTCCTGGACCTGGGCAATGTTTATACCACTCCCAGGACCTGGGTGTATGTTTATACCACTCCAGGACCTGGGTGTATGTTTTATACCACTCCAGGACCTGGGTGCATGTTTAGACCACTCCAGGACCTGGGTGTAAGTTTATACCACTCCAGGACCTGGGTGCACGTTTAGACCACTCCAGGACCTGGGTGCATGTTTATACCACTCCAGGACCTGGGCACATGTTTATACCACTCCAGGACCTGGGTGCATGTTTATACCACTCCTGGACTGGGCACATGTTTATACCACTCCAGGACCTGGGTGTAGTTTATACCACTCCAGGACTTGGGCACATGTTTATACCACTCCAGGACCTGGGTGTATGTTTATACCACTCCAGGACCTGGGCACATGTTTATACCACTCCAGGACCTGGGCACATGTTTACACCACTCCAGGACCTGGGCACATGTTTATACCACTCCAGAACCTGGGTGTATGTTTATACAACTCCAGGACCTGGGTGTATGTTTATACCACTCCAGGACCTGGGTAATGTTTATACCACTCCAGGACCTGGGACATGTTTAACCACTCCAGGACCTGGGACATTTTATAACCACTCCAGACCTGGGTGTAATGTTTATACCACTCCAGAACCTTGGACATGTTTATACCACTCAGGACCTAGGGAATGTTTATACCACTCCAGGACCTGGGTGTATGTTTATATCACTCCAGGACCTGGGTGCATGTTTATACCACTCCAGGACCTGGGCACATGTTTATACTACTCCATTACCTGGGTGTATGTTTATACCACTCCAGGACCTGGGTGTATGTTTATACCACTCCAGGACCTGGGTTATGTTTATACCACTCAGGACCTGGTGATGTTTATACCACTCCAGGACCTGGGTGTATGTTTATACCACTCCAGGACCTGGGTGTATGTTTATACCACTCCAGGACCTGGGTGTATGTTTATACCACTCCAGGACCTGGGCATGTTTATACCACTCAGGACCTGGGTAATGTTTATACCACTCCAGGACCTGGGTTATGTTTATACCACTCCAGGACCTGGGCACATGTTTATACCACTCCAGGAACTGGGATGTTACACCCAACCTAGTTTATAACCACTCCAGGACCTGGGTGTATGTTTATACCACTCCAGGACCTGGGCACATGTTTATACCACTCTAGGACCTGGGCACATGTTTATACCACTCCAGGACCTGGGCACATGTTTATACCACTCCAGGACCTGGGTATATGTTTATACCACTCCAGGACTGGGTGTATGTTTAGACCACTCCAGGACCTGGTGTATTGTTTATACCACTCCAGGACCTGGGTAATGTTTATACCACTCAGGACCTGGGCCATGTTTATACCACTCCAGGACCTGGGTCATGTTTATACCACTCCAGGACTGGGTGTATGTTTATACCACTCCAGGACCTGGGTGTATGTTTATACCACTCCAGGACCTGGGTGTATGTTTATACCACTCCAGAACCTGGGTGTATGTTTATACCACTCCAGGACCTGGGTGTATGTTTATACCACTCCAGGACCTGGGTGTATGTTTATACCACTCCAGGACCTGGGTGTATGTTTATACCACTCCAGGACCTGGGTGATGTTATACCACTCAGGACCTGGGATGTTTTATACCACTCCAGGACCTGGGTGTCATGTTTATACCACTCCAGGACCTGGGTGTATGTTTATATCCACTCCAGGACCTGGGTGTATTGTTTATACCACTCCAGGACCTGGGTGTATGTTTATACCACTCCAGGACCTGGGTGTATGTCTATACCACTCCAGGACCTGGGTGTATGTTTATACCACTCCAGGACCTGGGTGTATGTTTATACCACTCCAGGACCTGGGTGTATGTTTATACCACTCCAGGACCTGGGTGTATGTTATACCACTCCAGGACCTGGGTGTATGTTTATACCACTCCTAGGACCTGGGCAATGTTTATACCACTCCAGGACCTGGGTAATGTTTATACCACTCCAGGACCTGGGTGCATTGTTTATACCACTCAGGACCTGGGATGTTTATACCACTCCAGGACCTGGGTGTATGTTTATACCACTCCAGGACCTGGGTGTATGTTTATACCACTCTAGGACCTGGGCACATGTTTATACCACTCCAGGACCTGGGTGTATGTTTATACCACTCCAGGACCTGGGTGTATGTTTATACCACTCCAGGACCTGGGTATGTTTATACCACTCCAGGACCTGGGTGTATGTTTATACCACTTCAGGACCTGGGTATGTTTTATACCACTCCAGGACCTGGGACATGTTTTACCACTCCAGGACCTGGGTGTATGTTTATACCACTCCAGGACCTGGGTGTATGTTTATACCACTCCAGGACCTGGGTGTATGTTTATACCACTCCAGGACCTGGGTGTATGTTTATACCACTCCAGGACCTGGGTGTATGTTTATACCACTCCAGGACCTGGGCACATGTTTATACCACTCCAGGACCTGGGTGTATGTTTATACCACTCCAGGACCTGGGCACATGTTTATACCACTCTAGGACCTGGGCACATGTTTATACCACTCCAGGACCTGGGTGTATGTTTATACCACTCCAGGACCTGGGTGTATGTTTATACCACTCCAGGACCTGGGTGTATGTTTATACCACTCCAGGACCTGGGTGTATGTTTATACCACTCCAGGACCTGGGTGTATGTTTATACCACTCCAGGACCTGGGTGTATGTTTATACCACTCCAGGACCTGGGTATATGTTTATACCACTCCAGGACCTGGGTGTATGTTTATACCACTCCAGGACCTGGGTGTATGTTTATACCACTCCAGGACCTGGGTGTATGTTTATACCACTCCAGGACCTGGGTGTATGTTTATACCACTCCAGGACCTGGGTGTATGTTTATACCACTCCAGGACCTGGACACATTGAGTTTGAGGCATGAAACAACAACAACAACAACAACAACAACAACAATAATAATAATAATAATAGCGATGAGGATGATGATAATAATAATGGATTAATATTTTTTTCTCGTACTTATAAGCGAGGTACAATGTTATGATTGTTCTTGTAACAGGATATGCTGGAAAAAACTTAATTAATTAAAAGCAGCGTGTTAAGTACTAAGTGTAATGGCGCGTTTAGACTCGACAGTATATGAATTTATATTATAATAAACATTTCAATGGTAAATTGCGCAGTGTGGGAGAGGGATGATCTTGTAAATCCCAGTGAAAAGAATGGCGCATATGTGTTGTGTAAAAGCGTAATGCCCAGAATATTCACCTACACACACACACACACACACACGTGACACAGGAGAGTCGTGGGACGTTAGACAGCATTTGTTTATTCTCAGTGCTGTTCATTAGCGGAATGAGGAAGACTATGAGGTTAAGGAGAGGTTCTACTGAGCCCAGAAGGCTCGATTCCATTCGATGTCGGCCGAGGGAACCTAAGAGACGGGGGCTAGAAGGAGGGTCGAGGCTCCCACAAACATAACTCGGTTAGTACTTGTCATTGAGTAAACATTTACGGCCTCTAAGGTGGGTATGACCCTAGAGGCCGTTGATGCTGACCTTCACGCTAGTTGATGCTTGTAATACTGACCTTGGAGAACGTTGACGATGACAGAAGTGGGATGTGCTGACGTGGGTCAGCAGGTGTAGTTGCCAGAGTCGTCAGGTGATGCTTCATCAATTGTCAGGTGTGATACAGTGCCATCCTGGTCCTCCCTCGTGATGATCTTCACAGGTCCCTCGTAGTCCAGGATCTTCCGGTTGTGGTACCAGTAGACCAGGCCTGGCCGAGATAAAGAGGGATGCTGAGGGGTACCACTGAGGGTAAAGACGGAAAAAATGAGAAATGCTGAGGGAACTGCTAGAGATATACTGAGGATACAGTCAGAGATAATGAGGAATGCTGAGGGAACTAAAATAGATAAGGAAGGATGCTGAGGGTACAGTCGGAGGTAAGAAGGAATGTTGAGAAATCTGTTATTGATAAGAAAGGAATCTGTTAGAGGTAAGGAAGGAATCAGTTAGAGATAAGGAAGGAATCAGTTAGAGATAAGGAAGGAGACATACTAGTGGTGCTACAAAACCCAACATATAGGAAATCTGATACTTAAGAACATCAATCATTTTCAAGACTGAAGAGCAGAGATTATAAAATAAATATGAGTCTTACACCTCGACCCCAGTGAACATAAGTCACATTCTTTGCTGGGTTATTTTAGGCTAAATTTGCATGCTGTGCTGTACGGGAATGCCCACAACATTACTGGCTTTCAAAAACCACTGAAAAATGTTATAATTCTATTCGTATAATCACTTGTAAATTCTCCTCATTGAACATTTATTTCTTGGTGACAGGAATCGTGACCTAACAAAAAGGAACTGAACATTTTCTCATCTGAAAGAATGAAAAGCCCAATACACAAATAACCCGCACAGAGACTAAAACCTGAGACAACGTTGATAATGGTCCTAGTAAGGTCGAGACGTTATCATAAGCAATAGTCTCCTATGTACGGGTTATTTTGGTGTATTTTCTCATCTAAAGTGATTCCTGCCGCGACTCACGAAATCGTAATGACACGATTGCAAACAAACCATACCACGGGTGGGGTTAGAACCCGCGATCAGAGTCATAAAATTGCAGACCGACGCGTTAGCCACTGGGCCAGCTGGCTACAATAAGATTCATCCAACCAGGTAATTTATACACCATATACCTAGTTAGGTGAATCTTATTGTAGCCAGCTGGCCCAGTGGCTAACGCGTCGGTCTGGAGTTTTGTGACTCTCTGATAGCGGGTTCTAACCCCGCCCGTGGTATGATTTGATTCTGGCCACTCTAATCATAGTCGTGTGATTTAATCCAGTCACCTAAGGCAATGCACATTTGGTTACCTAACTCTCTGTGAGAAGTTAGGTGCAACACATCATGATCTGAGGTCGGATGGTGACCTACCTACCTGGCATGTTGAACTGATTAATGATGCAGGTCAGGTTAATGGTACTCCCAGCCTTCACGTACTCAGGACCCACTATCACCGACCGAGCTTCTGTAAGTAGTGAGGTATATATTAAAGTAATTACATCCTGTCGTGTAACTATCATACGTTACTGTGACGGGATATCTTCTGTCACTCTCGCTAGACGTCAGTAGCAACTGTGAAAAGATATCAGAAGTAACTGTGACAAGGTATCAATAATTGTGTATATATGAATAGATTCTCTCACGAGATGTCATCAAAAATCTACATTTTTACTGATGCTGTTGGTCGTCCTCAACTTTTCACAATTAGTTACTCTCAGACTTACCAAAGATGCATCTGAACTCACGAGATACAAAGGTACAGAGAAGAAAAGATACAGGTGTAGAGTAAGCTTTTGCTGTGGCAGCGAGTCGCTAAGTGTAGAGCTTTAGCAAGACACTGACTTGATAAATCTCTTCTTGGGAGAATAAACATGTGCCTGTGGTGCTTGGAAAACAGCTTTTGATGTTTGTTTCTCCCAAGGGACGAGAGAGGAGAGAGAGAGAGAGAGAGAGAGAGTATGAGAAGCCCTCAGAGTAAATAAATCCTGCAGGATGAAATTCAAGAGAGAGATAAGAGGAGGTTGTGACCAACTAGACCTTTATAATGCACCACTTCTTATAAAAATTTGACAGGGAGTTCAAAGAAAATAAAGAGAGAGTTTGGTAAAGCAAGCACCAAAAAAGAGACAGCGAGGGACAAAGAGAGAGAGAGAGAGAGAGAGAGAGAGAGAGAGAGAGAGGAAGAGAGAGAGAGGAAGAGAGAAAGAGAGAGAGAGAGAAAGAGAGAGAGAGAGAGAGAAGAGAGGAGAGAGAGAGAAAGAGAGAGAAAGAGGGAGGGAGGAGGCATATACAGGTAGCAATACATATGGAAGCCCCTGCCACATCAAGCTCACTAAGCCACCCCACTCTGGGATACCCCGCCACATCAAGCTCACTAAGCCACTCCCACTCTGGGGATACCCCCGCCACATCAAGCTCACTAAGCCACCCCCACACTGGGGATACCCCCGCCACATCAAGCTCACTAAGCCACCCTCACACTGGGATACCCCGCCACATCAAGCTCACTAAGCCACCCCACCTGGGATACCCCGCCACATCAAGCTCACTAAGCCACCCCACATCTGGGATACCCCGCCACATCAAGCTCACTAAGCCACCCCCACTCTGGGATAACCCCCGCCCACAATCAAGCTGACTAAGCCATCCCCACTCTGGGATGACCCCGCCACATCAAGTCCTCACTAAGCCACCCCCACACTGGGTATACCCCGCCAAATCAAGCTCACTAAGCCACCCCCACTCTGGGATACCCCGCCACATCAAGCTCACTAAGCCACTCTCACACTGGGATACCCCCGGCACATCAAGCTCACTAAGCCACCCCCACTCTGGGATACCCCCGCCATATCAAGCTCACTAAGCCACCCCCACACTGGGATAAACCCCGCCACATCAAGCTCACTAAGCCACCCTCACACTGGGGATACCCCCGCCACATCAAGCTCACTAAGCCACCCTCACACTGGGAATACCCCCGCCACATCAAGCTCACTAAGCCACCTCACACTGGGAATATCCCCGCCACATCAAGCTCACTAAGCCACCCCCACACTGGGATAACCCCGCCACATCAAGCTCACTAAGCCACCCCCACACTGGGGATACCCCCGCCACATCAAGTTCACTAAGCCACCCCCACACTGGGGATATCCCCGCCACATCAAGCTCACTAAGCCACCCTCAAACTGGGGATACCCTCGCCACATCAAGCTCACTAAGCCACCCCCACACTGGGAATACCCCCGCCACATCAAGCTCACTACGCCACCCCCACTCTGGGGATACCCTCACCACATCAAGCTCACTAAGCCACCCTCACACTGGGAATACCCCGCTACATCAAGCTCACTAAGCCATCCCCACACTGGGGATACCCCCGCCACATCAAGCTCACTAAGCCACCCTCATACTGGGAATACCCCCGCTACATCAAGCTCACTAAGCCACCCTCACACTGGGATACCCCCGCCACATCAAGCTCACTAAGCCACCCTCACACTGGGAATACCCCCGCCACATCAAGCTCACTAAACCACCCTCACACTGGGGATACCCCGCCACATCAAGCTCACTAAGCCACCCTCACACTGGGGATACTCCCGCTACATCAAGTTCACTAAGCCACCCTCACACTGGGAATACCCCCGCCACATCAAGCTCACTAAGCCACCCCCACAGTGGGGATACCCCCGCCACATCAAGCTCACTAAGCCATCCCCACACTGGGGATATCCCCGCCACATCAAGCTCACTAAGCCACCCCCACACTGGGGATACCCACGCCACATCAAGCTCACTAAGCCACCCCCACACTGGGGATACCCCCGCCACATCAAACTCACTAAGCCATCCCCACACTGGGGATACCCCCGCCACATCAAGCTCACTAAGCCATCCCCACACTGGAGATATCCCGCCACATTCAAGCTCACTAAGCCACCCCACACTGGGGATACCCCCGCCACATCAAGCTCACTAAGCCATCCCCACACTGGGAGATATCCCCGCCACATCAAGCTCACTAAGCCACCCCCACACTGGGGATACCCCCGCCACATCAAGCTCACTAAGCCATCCCCACACTGGAATACCCCCGCCACAACAAAACTCACTAAGCCACCCTCACACTGGGAATACCCCCGCCACAACAAACTCACTAAGCCACCCTCACACTGGGAATACCCCCGCCCACAACAAACTCACTAAGCCACCCTCACACTGGGATACCCCGCCACAACAAACTCACTAAGCCACCCTCACACTGGGAATACCCCCGCCACAACAAACTCACTAAGCCATCCCCACACTGGAATACCCCCGCCACAACAAACTCACTAAGCCACCCTCACACTGGGAATACCCCCGCCACAACAAACTCACTAAGCCACCCTCACACTGGGAATACCCCCGCCACAACAAACTCACAAAGGGCCACCCTCACACTGGGATACCCCCGCCACAACAAACTCACTAAGCCACCCTCACACTGGGGATACCCCCGCCACAACAAACTCACTAAGCCACCCTCACACTGGGGATACCCCCGCCACAACAAACTCACTAAGCCACCCTCACACTGGGGATACCCCCGCCACAACAAACTCACTAAGCCACCCTCACACTGGGGATACCCCCGCCACAACAAACTCACTAAGCCACCCTCACACTGGGGATACCCCCGCCACAACAAACTCACTAAGCCACCCTCACACTGGGGATACCCCCGCCACAACAAACTCACTAAGCCACCCCCACACTGGGGATACCCCGCCACAACAAACTCACTAAGCCACCCTCACACTGGGGATTACCCCCGCCACAACAAACTCACTAAGCCACCCTCACACTGGGGATACCCCCGCCACAACAAACTCACTAAGCCACCCTCACACTGGGATACCCCCGCCACAACAAACTCACTAGCCACCCTCACACTGGGGATACCCCGCCACAACAAACTCACTAAGCCACCCTCACACTGGGGATACCCCCGCCACAACAAACTCACTAAGCCACCCTCACACTGGGGATACCCCCGCCACAACAAACTCACAAGCCACCCTCACACTGGGGATACCCCCGCCCAACAACAACTCACTAAGCCACCCTCACACTGGGGATACCCCCGCCACAACAAACTCACTAAGCCACCCTCACACTGGGGATACCCCCGCCACAACAAACTCACTAAGCCACCCTCACACTGGGGATACCCCCGCCACAACAAACTCACTAAGCCACCCTCACACTGGGATACCCCCGCCACAACAAACTCACTAAGCCACCCTCACACTGGGGATACCCCCGCCACAACAAACTCACTAAGCCACCCTCACACTGGGGATACCCCCGCCACAACAAACTCACTAAGCCACCCTCACACTGGGGATACCCCCGCCACAACAAACTCACTAAGCCACCCTCACACTGGGGATACCCCCGCCACAACAAACTCACTAAGCCACCCCCTCACACTGGGGATACCCCCGCCACAACAAACTCACTAAGCCACCCTCACACTGGGAATACCCCCGCCACAACAAACTCACTAAGCCACCCTCACACTGGGGATACCCCCGCCACATCAAACTCCATCAATCCTGGATCTCTCATTCAAGTTTTCTGCCTGTCAAAGCACGTAATAAACTTTCCCTTGCTCAATTTGTTTCTCATTATAAGACATTTCCCTGACGCAATACAAGGAGAGTTGATTGTAAGTTATCCAGAGTTACTTTAAGATTTTGTCACACACACACGTACTATATATATATATATATATATATATATATATAATATATTATATATATAATATATATATATATATATATATATATATATATAATATAATATATATATATATAATATATATATATATATATATCATATAATATATATATATATATATATATATATATAATATAACATATTCATGTTAAAGGTTGGTAGAAAGGTGAGAAGGATGGAGGTAGGTCGCAGGTGGTAGGCGACACAAGGGCCGGCTGACGGCTAGGTCCTAAATTTAGCCTCACACCTTCAACCCCTTGAGAGCTTCTCAGCTTCCCTCTGCCGACGCTCGTAAACACACGCACGAAGGCTGCATCTTCAGGGACAGGCGAAAAAATTAAGGAAATTTGAATTTATAGTGGCGTAAGCGAGGGCATCTTTACGCCCCCCAACACGAGAAGATTGTGCAGGGTTGATTATTTTTTATGTTTGGTAATATTGAGTATATATCCGCAGTGTTCGGTTATCTTATATATTCAGTAATAAGTCGAACTTGCCGAATAGGCCGAAATCTCTTAACAGTTAAACCTTCTCCCCCCCCCCCCCCAAAAAAAAAATGCAGAAGGTAAGATCACTTTTTTTCATTGACATTGATATAGAGATTTTTATTTTTTTGGCCAAAACTAACTTAGAAATCTCACCTAAAATCACTTTAGAGTTTACAGTTTAAGAGATGTTATTCTATTTAACGAATAGTGTTAAATCGTATATCATTCCCCAGGATGTTAAAACAGTCACCTAACTCCCAGGTACCTATTTACCCTAAGTAAACAGGACCACTAAGTTGGTTTGATTGGCAAATAATGCCGACAAGTATGGCACACTAAAGTGACAATTTACTGAGCAGGATTTTATTCCGAGCGAATCGTCTTCAGGATAAAAATTCGCTCTGCAGACAGGGGCAGCAGGTGTGGGGAGTCACCCATAAGTCTCTACTCGCTAATTATTGATCCCGGGTTCACTGAGCTACTAGTTAGCTATTTCATATGATACTTAAGTGGACGGAGGTAAAGGAGCATAGAGGATGTATGCGTGTGTTAGCAAAGGCAAGGGACGCATGTTGATGCCGGGGAAGGGGTCAGTGCGACTGAGGTTGGTGTGGAGTGATTATCTGTGTATGTGCCAGATACGTAATGTTTGTATGAGATTGTGGGGAGGGAGGGAGATGAGTATATGTGGATGTAAAACTGGATTTCTTATTTTTTTGGTAAGTCATTTGATGTGGGGGAAAAATGGATACCATTGTGCAGAACCAGACTTCATTTAGTATAGACTTTATCAAGATATGCCTTTCTCTACATATCTGGGTCTTCAACCCAGGGATACGACAAGTGTGTACTCACCGATTTGTAATTGGGATGAGAGAATGTTATCTCATGTGTGTGTGTGTGACTTGTACTCGTTGGAACGCAGGAGGGAGAGATATATCATAATCTACACTTGGAAAATCTTGGAAGGAATGGTCCCAAATCTGCACACAGAAATCACTCCCTACGAAAGTAAAAGACTGGGCAGGCGATGCAAAATGCCCCCAATAAAAAGTAGGGGTGCCATTGGTACACTAAGAGAAAACACCATAAGTGTCCGGGGCCCAAAACTGTTCAACAGCCTCCCATCAAGCATTAGGGGAATTGCCAATAAACCCCTGGCTGCCTTCAAGAGAGAGCTGGACAGATACCTAAAGTCAGTGCCGGATCAGCCGGGCTGTGGCTCGTACGTTGGACTGCGTGCGGCCAGCAGTAACAGCCTAGTTGATCAGGCCCTGATCCATCGGGAGGCCTGGTCATGGACCGGGCCGCGGGGGCGTTGATCCCCGGAATAACCTCCAGGTAACCTCCAGGTGTGTGTGTGTGTGTGTGTGTGTGTGTGTGTGTGTGTTTGTGAAATTAGATGAGCGGCTAAACTTTGACAAGGTCTCATGCCTCGTTGAACTTAATTTCTCTTTGGAGATTCACAGGAGAGAGAGATATGCGTGAAGACCTGTCACTTGGGTGAGCTTCTGCAACTTGCAAAGTAATGTTGCGGTGTTCCCTCATACTTACAGGTCTGTCTGCCTGCCTGTCTGTCTGTCTGTCTGTCTGTCTGTCTGTCTGTCTGTCTGTCCCTCTCTCTCTCTCTCTCTCTCTCTCTCTCTCTCTCTCTCTCTCTCTTGTTTCAACAAAATCCTTGGACTCCTGTTGTTCATATGGTTCCTGGACAAGTTTGGCAGTGAACGCCCCAGACAAGGAAATGCTCCTTTCCTTTAAATTTCATGTATTTTACTCTTCTTAAAATTGATTTTTATTTACCAGAGATATTAATCTCTGGTAATAATTCCTTCACAAATTATTTTAACATACTTTTAGGCATGTTTCTTTAGTGGATCATGGCTAAAATTATGTATTGTTTCGGTCTTCTTATATCTGTCTTATCAGTCTCCAGGGAAGTCAATATCAGCCTGACGGATCACAGACTGAGCTGTGATTGCGGGACGGAGGATCGAGTCTGCCACACCCTGTGCTGATTAACCCACAGGGGTTTTGCGCTTCCTGATATGCACTTACAACTCTCCCTGTCAGGGTCGCTTAGTCTTCAAGGCACGCATTCTATTTTTCATTTTCTTCTGCACACATTTCTTCAGACTCTCACTGCAAGTCCATCCTCACACTCTTGCCTTCAAATTTTCTCGACACGCTTTTCATAAAACTCCTTCAACACTCCTTTCTCCTTGAGATTCTTTCGAAGCATCCTTTTTCAGTCACATTTCTTCGAAATGTTGTTTTTCTTCATATTCGTCTGAAATCCCATATTTTTCTACTCTTCCCTCTCCCCATTTTCTTCCAGTCTCTTAATAAATCGGCCTTTGAAGCCTTGAGACGCAAATCTATCTCTTTAATCCCTTATTTAGAGCATGTTTCAGTTTGTCCCTTTGATAAACACTATGCTAGACACACACTAACAAGTAATTCCAGCATTGATGTTTACAGCAATTTAATAACGTCATTACATATTAGTAAACGCTATTTGACTTATTTAATATACCCTGTACTGTGGCATTTAGTTTTTTCTAAGCAAACAGTTTATATTATGGACAATTTCGATCCGTCTTGGACCTCAGTGAAATCTTAATAATGAATAGCCCAGACCCAACCGAAACGTCGTCTAGTTTCCATTTTTAATTTTTGAGTTTGTTGTGAGTTTATTCCCGCCACTTTCGCTCTTTTCTCTCCAAACACCTTTTTTTTCTTCATCTCCGAGGAAACACCTACACATATTTTGTTCTCTCTCTCTCTCGCCCTAGCAACTTTCCCAAAGAGAAACTCAGGATACTGACCAACAACATTAAGGACGTACGACATGGAGAGCTTGGGAACTGTGTTGACCTGACACTCGTAAATACCAGCGTCTCTCATCTGAGCATACTTGATCTGCAGCGTCCAGTTCTCGGACTTCTCCGGGTGAATCACCTGTGGAAAGGAGCACCTTGTGAGTCACGAAATATCCCTAAATCTTACTTGGACAATATATCAATATATATATATATATATATATATATATATATATATATATATATATATATATATATATATATATATATATATATATATATATATATATATATATATATATATATATATATATATATATATTATATATATATTATATATATATATATATATGTCGTGCCGAATAGGCAGAATTTGCTATCTTGGCTTAAATAGCAACGTTCATCTTGCCAAATGGGACAAGTGAAAATTTGTGTATGCAATAATTTCGCCAAAATCATTCTGAACCTAACGAAAAAAATATATTTCACAGTGTTTGTTTAGTATTAAATTACTGTAAACAAATCTAAAATATATTTAGTTTGGTTAGGCTAAAATAAATTGCTCTTGTTATAATAAGGTTAGGTAAGTTTTCTAAGATTCTTTTGGTGCAAAATTAAAATTTTTTACATTAACATTAATGAAAAAAATATATCTTTAAACGTATAAGAGAAAATTTTAGCAAGGACTTAATTTTAAATGAGTTCTTGCTAATTGACCAGTTTTACATATTCGGCACGACATATATATATATATTATATATATATATATATAATATATATATATATATATATATATATATATATCTCACGAAAAGCGGTGGAGGATCTAACCTATGGTTCCTTCTGAGGTTGTGGGTGATCGTCTGAGATTAAGAAATAGACACATGTGCAACATCTGGGTATCTTTATTGTAGACGCTTCGCCATCCAGTGGCTTTATCAACACAAATTCAAAGACATAGTGGGAAGACTGTATGTAGTCAGTCCCTCAGCCTTGGAGTTGGCGAAGAGTCTTCAAGTTTTGTCGGTATTGTATACCATACATATACATGGTCTGATATTGTCGAGGTTGATGAGAACACTGCCACACGTAGCCTTACCAGATATCAACTT